TGTATATCTACTGACTCTTGTACATATAACAAAAATCTCTTATCACTAAGTTTTTTCTTATCCTGGAAAAAAAGGTTTGGATATGTTTGTTTCATGTTTGTTTTGTGTTTGGCTTTTTGGCATAGGATTTTTTCTTCTCATTTAGAGTGCTATATTCCTTTAAAAAGGGCATAGCTGTGTGAGGCTGATCCTCTGGAAGGAGTGGGAAGATGGCTCCCTCTCTCAGGAGCAGCCAAGCATGGTCAAGGAGCCAATAAGTCAATAAGTCAAAGAGCCTTCATAATGGAGAAGAAAGTCTGCAGCTCCAGCAGGGACTGAGATTACAAAGAACAGAAGCAGATCAGGCCTAAGAAATGGGGAAAAGAGGACAACAGGAGACTGTCAAAACCATTGAACTGACTAAAATCAACCCTGGAGGGAAGGTTCTGCCCTGAAAGTACAGAAAAAGCAGGGAGAAAATGGCTTTTTTTTTCTCCCCATCTTAAATGGCTTTCTTAATGGAGTTCACTGTAAAGAGAAGGTAAATAGATCTATCTTACAGCTCTGACCAATTTAATATCCTGTCACACCACATTTAAAGGAAGGTTGATCTTGCTAATAAAATATGCCTAAGTATACCATAAAGAACTGACACTATTCTGAGTATTTCAGATATCGGAATTTATTTAAAAATTCCCCTTGGACTTTCCTAAAATATGGATTCAAGTCTATCAAGAAATGCCTACAATGATAGAGCAAATACTACTGTTTCCCATCAGGGCTGGAACTGACCTAAAAGTTCAGTAAAACAGTTCAGAGGAGGAATCTTTGCACGTTATCAAGATAGTCCTTTCTACATCATGGACTGACCAGTTTTATTTCACATAGATGAAGACTGAGTTTACATTTCAAGTGAAGTATTTTCAGATGTTTTAGGGAAGCCTTTTGCTATTACTTTACAAAATACATTAATCTCCTAATGATGGATTTTTTTGGCTCATACATGGAAACATCTAAGTCTATTTTAAAGTGGCTCTCTAGGAGCTCAAGCTGTCTTTCACTTCCAAAACTGTTGAAGGAATCTTTTCACCTACAAAGCTAAATACAGATGTTTCTGAAACTGAAGTAAGAAAATCCAGGAGGGTCTACTTGAAATGCAGAAGACAAATAGACATAAAAAAAGATTTATTTTTTAAATTCTCACTATCTCTGACTCTTTAAGTGGTTGTTGACTGACTTTAGTGTTCAATTAGCTGCAGAACATTTTAGGAGGATAACTTTTAAAAAACAAGGTGATTATTCCTTAAAAGACAAAAGTAAAGAAAAGCAAAGGGACTATTCAGCTGAATGCTAAGATTTCATTATTACGTGCACACCACTTTATTCTTTGTGTAATAAACTTCCTATCTGGTTTTGTAGCAAAGTATAAATATGCTACATCTTTGACATGCGCTGATTGTACAGTACCTCTTCTTTCTGGCATCCTTTCAATCCTCAGCATAGGGATTTTCTTTTAACATTCACTGAGATAATTATCCCATCTTTCTTAGATGCCTTCTTTATTTTTAGCTTCCTAAGTAGAAGTGTTGTCTTCTAGTTTGCTAGATTTTGTTAAATAATTTAGTACATTTGCATACTAAAAATTGTAGCTAAAAAAAGATGGGGATCTCAAGAGTAAGGTTCAGAGGGAGAACAGGCTAAGTTTTCACTGAATATTTAAAAGGATACCTATCTTTAGCTGTCTATATATTTAGCTGTTGAGTTTGCTTAAAATCTTTTTTTGGTAAGAGTCTCTAACATATTTAAACAAAGCTAGGAAGGAGTATAAGAGAGCAAAGAAGCATAAAAAAGCAGAGAAGCTCCAACAGCCAAAATATAATATACATAATATTATGAAACTAAGATTATATTGGAAGTAGAGTTTTCCAAATCTATTTTATTTTCACACAAAGAAAAGGTTCACATTTTTTACATTGTAAGTTTTGAACTTGTGATTTTACGAAGAGTGTTTGGATTCTCAAGGTGAGCAACTGGATATTTTTGAGTCAGGGGGTATAAATACTTCAGATTAGATATGACAGCGCAGCTTTTAAATGCTAATCATACTGATATTACCAATTTAGACTTAGACAATAAAAAAAAGAATGCTTTCCAATAAATTCCACGCTACTATTCATCGAAGAAAAACCTAGAGAACAGGCAAGTAAGTAAGACAAGCTGGAGAGGAAGAATATATTCAATACACAACTTATGAGATACATTTCATACATAGAGCTACCTTTTTCTTCAGTTGCACTAGTTCAACTCCTTTGAAGTAACAGAGTTAGCTAAATCATTATGTTACCTAACTGCTTCTAGTCACAAGCCTACATCTAAGAATGTAATGGTTTGACACATTCACCCGCATACTAGATTACACATCTCCTTGGAAATGAGCTCTTAGTAAATAATTTCATTTAATACTGTTATGATAAAAGGCATAAATCCTAACCTCATTTTAATTCTAATACACCTTAAATATAAAATTCACGTATTTGGTAATTAGCTAACCAAGAATATACTGACACATTTTAGAGTTGTACGACAGTATCTACTAAAGAGAAGGAAAGTCCCTTTAACAAAGTTGATCTCAATTATGTAAGCTCATCAGAATATGTTGTGGAAATAACTGAAAAGTTTTCTATTATGGTTAAGTGTCAAAGGGCAATGATACCTGCATATTTCTCATATTAGTTTCTGTCACATATTTATTGCTTAGCGATTTTATTCTAGGCTGTGTGAAAAATCCCATCATGTAGGGGAAAAAAAAGAAAGCAATAAGCAATAAAACAATTCCCCTCCCCTTCATAACTTCTAGAGCCTAATCAAACTACAAATATCTATGGAAGTTTTACCATTCATTCTAATGGGGAAAAACGAATTACTCAGTTAAGATTTAAGTGGAAATATATTTATTACCTACAGCTATTACAATAGATAACATAAGGCAAGAGCCCTGTTTCCATATCCCATTACAAGCTATCACTAATCAATGAACCAATGAATAATCAATCAGTAAGTCATGATGTCTAGATGGCGGATGTTCCAAACATTTTGTACTACAAAAAGTTAGGTAGAAGTATACCTCTTGTTCTAAATATTATATCTAAAATGATTTACGCAGTTTTAATGTTTTCAAACACCATCATGAACACTGTTACAGAATAACTGGCTGATGCATGTGTTTTTTATACTTTTTATATACTATACTTAATTTCTATACTTCTCATATTATTGTATAGTGTAAAGGTACTATCGGTATGAATTTAAGATAACTTCATTACTTGCCTGCAGTAAAGTTGCAGTGTATATTTTAGGTAATCCAGAAGAAATACTGAAAAATCATGAAGCTCATGTCTTTATTTATCTGAATTACAGAAATAATGAATGACGTACTTAAGAATTTTTTTTAAGTCCTATTAATTCTTTATAGTCACTTTGCCCCTCTTCTTTCATCTGTAGTGGAAGTTGCTTTTCTGATGAAGAAACTAACTTGTACAAAGGTAAGACTCCTGAGAAGCCTAAAATGAATGAAAATATTTTTATAGTCATTCAAATATCATAAATATTAAAGTTTATCTCAAGAATTTTTTAGACTATTGCTGCAAGGAAAGGGATTAGCCTTAGGAAACAGAACTTATTTTTTCCAACTCCATTTTGGTCCTGTTAGAGCGGTAGCAATTAGATCTTTAGCAACAAAAAATTTTAGATGCAGAGTAATTATATATTTCTCTTGTATCATACCTCTAAATCATTCTTTTTAATTATACAAAGGGACAAAATATACTACTGCTTCTAAACTTTTGACACACTTCCATTGTCAGTGCTGTAATTTTATTTGCTTGCTGCAGCAATCCTACACAAATTTCTCATACCAATTTTATGGCTTTTTACTCACTAGCCGACATGCTCTTTCTAAGAAAGGTGTCTCAAACCTAAATTGTTGTCTTATTTTGGATTTTATAGGCAGTCTGTGTAAGCACTTGAGGTTTAGTTTGTATTTCTCACCTTTTTTCACCCCAGTGACACAGGTGCAGAACCCTGCAGTCGATGCGGATGCTCACCAAAATACAAAGGCAAATGCTGAGGAAGGGATTCTCCTGGCAGGCTACAGACATACAAAGATACACGAGAATACTGTAGGTGTTCTCAAGAGTCTATTATAATCCAATAGCTGGAGTAAATTCTTTAGGGCTTATAAAATTCTTTACAGAGAAAAGGAACGATCACACGATCAGTGGGTCTTCTCCCTTTCTTAATCTGGAATTGTAGTTTTCCCATTCACTTTTCATAAAGAAAAACACCAATTAACTAAAGGTGGGAGAGCTATATGATATGAGAGCTATATGATAATTCTCTGTGTCTTCTCACCTTTTTTTGAGGAACTTGGGACAGAGAGAGGAAATCAGGGGAAAAATAAAGAAGAAAAAAGTTTTTTTATGTTTTAAGGAGGTATGGAGAAAAAAATGTGAAGCTAGAATAAATAAGAGAAAGAATAAAAAGAACAGAGAAATAGAAAAAGAGAATGGATAGAGGAAGCAAGAGTAAATGCACATAAATTTCACTATGTATAATTGATATTTTGTGCAATGCCATTTTGCAGTTTCCTGGCAAGTGTCCTACATTGTTGATTTTATGAGAAAGAACTGGGAAGCTATTTTAAGAACTCATGTTTAATTAACAGTGTTGTCTGTCTACTCTTGCTTTTGTGTTTAAATGCTGAGGTTGGTTGAATGACTACCTATACTTTTAATACTCATAAGAGAAAGAAAAATGGATTATTCTGTACTTTGGAGAGGCTTTTTTAAAAATTATTTTTCTTCACATGAATGCTTCTAGGTACAAATTCAGCCGTAAAACCCTATTAAAACCCTATAACACAAAACAGTGACTTTGAAAGAGTTTCAGGACAGAGATTTCATATTTATATTCCATATAATATGAAAGTCTGCCAGTTATGTGGTTGTAACTCCACCTTTCTGTTTTGTCTTACTTGTTTTATCAAAATACATACTAGAACTTAGATGGGAAGAGGTTGTATCTTTTCATTTCCTAGCACACTGACCCTGATTGATCTATGAAATTCTGTACAAACACAAAATGTAATAATATTTCACATACATCCATCTCTGTCACTTCCTGCTTTTTCCCTTTGCTTTATTTTAGTATCTGAAATGTATTATTACCTTTATTTCTCTGAGCTATGATATTACTGTGATAGTAGCATTTTCTGTCCTACTTTCTCTATTCCCTAATGCAAATGCAATTGAAGGAGAAAAAATACTCTTATCCTGATTCTGCTGTGATCCAGTTTAGTAGTGTGATCCTCTGACATCAGCAGTATGGTTATTCTAATCAGTTGCATACACCTTGCTGAACTGTGATGATCACCTTAGTGTTCTGCAACATCTAGGCAATACCTTGTTGGAAAACTTGCTGTTCTGCAGGATTTTTTTTCTCCTGAATAAATTATAGAAACTAGAAATAGAAATGATAACTGGAAGGGGTAATATAATTCTCTTCTGTAAAAGTGGTAAGTTACTCAGGCAAATCCATTTGGTCTCTGAGATACTGTCATTGTGGGAGAACAGGCTAATGTTCAACAGGAGTAAATGGCATGACCTTGAAATAACACCAGCCCAGTGAATTGTAGACAAAACAATCCAAATATATACCTAAAGCACCGAAACCAACATCACAGAGCTCAAGATGCTGTTGTGCTGCTATTCAGAGGGACCCCAATGGGCTGGAGAAATGGGTAGAGAAGAATGTCAAGAAGTTCAACACAGGGAAGTGCAAAGTCCTGAATCAGGGGAGGAATAACCCCATGCACTGGTACAGGCTGGGGGCTGATCAGCTGGAAAGCAGCTGTGCAATGAAGGACCTGGGGGTCCTGGTGGACGACAAGATGAACACGAGAGAGCGATGTGCCCTTGTGGCAGAGAAGGCCAACAGCCTCTTGGGCTGCGTTAGGAACATCATCGCCAGCAGGTTGAAGGGGGTGATCCTTCCCCTCTGCTCACTCCTGTTGAGACACACCTGGAGTGCTGGGTCCAGTTCTGGGCTCCCCAGTACAAGAGAGACGTGGACATACTGGAGCAAGCCCAGTGAAGGGCCACAAAGATGATTAAGGGACTGAAGCATCTGTCACGTGCAGAAAGGCTGAGAAAGCGGGCACTGTTCAGCCTGGTGAAGAGGAGGTCGGGGGGATCTTATCGATGTTGATGAATAGCTGAGGGAGGGAGCAAAGAAGATGGAGCCGGACTCTTCTCGGTGGTGCCCAGTGAAAGGACAAGAGGCAACTGGCACAAACTGAAACACAGGAAATTCTGTTTAAACAAAAGAAGAACCTTTTTTACTGTGAGGGTAACTGAGCACTGGAACAGGTTGCCCAGAGAGGCTGTGGAGTCTCCTTCCCTGGAGATATTCAAACCCAGACTGGACAATATCCTGAGCAACTTGCTTTAGCTGACCCTGCTTTGAGCAAGGGAGTTGGAACAGATGATCTCTTAGAGGTCCCTTCCAACTTCATCTATTCTGTGACTCTGTGAAGACATCCACTGGTACATCTGCCTGCCCTGGTTTCCAACTTCCACCTGCAAGACAGCATTGTTTGTTGATTCTCTTCATTGTCATTAGTAGTTTTCTTGATATTTTACCCTGTGTCTTAATTCATCCTCTTTCCTAGGCTGCGTGGACAGAACAGAATCAAAGTTAACACAAATCAAATGATTTAAATAGAATTTTATCTGATGGGATTAGGTGTCATGACTTTTGCATTTTGATGGAAAACACTGTAGAACTGAAAAATTATATATTTATACATGGAATGGGGCACATAACTATAGTGATACTCATTTTGAGTATCAGTATGCGTGTACAGCACTGCAATTATTTGTCAGACAGCAATTAAACTGTTTTTATCTTATCAACATCTACTGGAGATCTGTCAAAAAGTATCTCAAAAAACTGAATTGTTCACTCAGATTTCAGAACTATTTATTTAATAAGAGTAGCTTTCTTCTGTTATTTTATATTGTAAAATGATAAATATATATGACAATGTTAGTTTAATCCAGTCTTCATGCCAGAGTAAATATATATTACCTGGAAATTATCCTGATAAAATTTTAAAGGCTTCTTTATAAGAATGGAAGATCTCATTCAATTCGCTCCTGCCTCTAAAGCAAAATATCTTGGATATGAACATACTGCATAGACTTTCAAAGCAAAATATTTTATGGCACTATATAATTTAATGGCGAGATGAGTATATCCTGAAGTTCGCTCAGATTACTGGCATTTACAGTCTTTTCTCATGCTACACTTCTTGAAAAAAAGCCCTGACTACCACTATATCCTTATGATAAGACCCACAAAAGACTTCAGGAAAGTCCTACATACTTCTACGTTAGGTGCCTAAATCTGTAATTGTGATCCTGGCCTTTCTTTTACTGCTGATTTTCCCACCTGCTTCATATTTCATGGCAACTAAATTACTCCAAGGGCTAACATTGCCCTTTTTGGCATAATCAGAAATATCTCAGTCTTGACAGTGCTGAGCTGTTCAAAGTCCTATGCCTCTCGTAAATCTAGTACTTTGTACAAACTAAGTATTCCTGTCATGCAAGAGATTCAGTATAAGAGGCATTTTCAAAGCAGCTCTGGCATGTCACAGAAAACTGCCAGAGGCAAGTTGCATCCCCAAGTCTGTCGCACTTATTCAGCATATTCATTCAACTCCCTCTCTGACTGACATCAAAACTCACATCACTTTACCTTATGACTGAAACACCAACAATAGCATTAATAAATATTTTTTAGACTGTAAGGAGAGCAGTAGCTGTCTCAGCCACACCTGTGTCATGGGACCATAGAGAAAGATAGGAGATGATAAAGTCACAGAAAACTAGATGTCATTTGTGTATCTGCAAAACTAGTCAATCACACCTACATACTCTGGCTACAGCAAACTTGCAGCTGACCCTAAAATTCTCCACTCCTATTCTAAGTATTATATAATTCCTCATTGTCGTTTTCTGCCAACTATGTTTTCATGCATCTGAATTTCTTGGCCAGAAGATGGCATAGATATTTCAAATTAAATTGTTACTATAGCATCACTGCAACTCTGTATGATAATTACTATAATCTAAATTCTGTGGAGTTTATCAGTGTGATCTTTCATTTATGCTGTGCTGGTTATGTCAAATTTTCTTCAACTTGCTATGCACTGCAATGAAGTAGTACAATGCAGATTATTCTCATAGCATCTGACATCTATTGTTATGTATTGTTATGTAGTTTTCCAGCTGTCCAGACCTATGAGATCATGACCACCCTGAATGTCTATCAGCTCCAGTTAAAAGTTGAGGTTATATAGGTTCTTGCAGGATCCAAACTAGTCTATGGCATTCAAAATCTCTGCCTTAGTGAGATTATTGCATATGAATTTGGACTGTAAATATTTAACGCTTTTCCTCAGTGTCAAGCTACCTGCCTG